GGAAACAGTAAAAAACTTAGCATTCATATTTTTTATAAAAATCATGTATTCAAGTAGTTTAGTGTACCAAAGGGTTTTTTTTAAAAAGACAGAAAAAACTTTACCATACATATTTTCTACAAAAATTGTGTGTTCAAATAGTTTTCTTTACGAAGTGTATGATAAATATGTTTTATATTTAACAAATGTATCTTTACATCATAAAAGTTCTTATTTATTACTTGTATATATTGCATAAATCATGTTCGTAAGTTGAGTAAATCACAGAGTACTATACATTAATGTAATAGCTTTTCTATATGTTTAACAATTATCTTGTCTGTCAGTTTATAACTAATTATTTATAAGTTTGCTAAATTAAGCGAAAAAACGTAGATAGGCGCAGATTTTATATAAAAATTTAAAACATTAGTATGTAAAACTTCTTGGATTTTATATAAAAATCTCCGCAAATCTAGGTTTTCTTCCTTTTCTTAATGTCGACATGTTCCTTTCTTTATATAGACTTATTCATTTATTATCAGTATGCATCTCAGTGAAAGGAGAGAAAAATCTGTCTCTCGCACTCACACAAAAAGTCTTAAGTAACGTCAAATACCCAGACTAAAGCAAATTTTCATTTCACCTGTTGGTCAAGGGAAATTATTTTCCTTTTTATTCTTCCTTCATGTTACACACCTTTCAACTGGTTCCCTAAGAACTGCTTTTATTTTTTAACAATTGATCCAGATGTGATAAAATTCGTCATGAAAACATTGGCTCCTGGAATCCTTGACTTTTTTTTTAATTTTCGTGTTTTTTTTAAGCACATTAAATTTATTTGGAAAGGGGCCCAGGAAATGTTTTTGCATAGGGGGCCCAAGAGTTCTAGTTACGCCCCTGAATGTAATGCTTGTCTAAAAACTCATTCCGGACAATGCAATTCAAACTTTTCGTGCAGCTGCTGTTTCCGAAAACATCTTTTCCTCCTTCATAGATCTATAGATTTCTAAAGTGGTGCCAGACACCAGGGTACCTGGGTATTACTAACCCTACCTCTCATCGAACAAATTATAGTATAGTTTCGAATATATGTGAATTATAACTGAATACATTAATGAACATATCTTAAAATGTTGTGGATATACATAATTATCAGGTAATGGTACATAATTTTTTGACAGCATATAACCTAACGGTAATTAAAGCAATAATCTGGATAGAAAGCCAGTCAAGCACAGAAGCTGTCGAGTGGTAGAGCTGGAAAGAGAACATAGACAAACATGGCAAACAAAAGAGGTAAGTGCGCTACTTTGGTGCCGCTAAACTGACAACATGCATAATACTAAAAAAGAATATATAATACAATAACAGTACAGAAATTTGTAGATATATATGTATAATAATAATAAGTCATTACACACAGAAATTAAGGTAGGTTAACACACATAATGGCCCGCGGGCGCTTAATATTCATATTATTTTACATCATAGTTATATAGTTATCGCAGGATGTCAATAGCCTCCTGTTTGTCATAAAAATTCCGCGATAGGCGGCTGTAATAATCCTTGAGTTCCTCAAGTTTTAGCTCCTTGTGGAGCTGTCTATTCCTAACATACCTGGGGGCATTGCAAATTTGTCTAATTGCCCCATTCTGGGTTGCTTGCAGTCTTTTTCTAAGTGATTTACAAGAGTATGCCCATACCTGGCACGCAGTGGCTAATCGCACCGACGGTGCGAATAGCTAACAGGCTATTCACACCAGCAACGTTGCGCGCATGGCGCACAATCAGCCCAGGTACCAGCATTTTACGCCGATTTCCGTAAAGTAGACGGTAGTGAGAGCGAAGGATTGTTAACCCTAAGCAGCATAGAAAGGGTTGTTAACTGTTCACCAAGCAAGAGAATAATTTGCAAGTAATAATTATCGGTTTACAAAGACGAAGTCAATCTATGTACATGATAATATTCAGGAAATGATCAGATAAAATAGGGATTTAATGATGGTTCTATTTGCAAGGCGAGGATGTGTAATTAGTTTAAAAAATCTTTAAGTGTATTGACAAAAAGGCTGCAGAAATTACTTAAATTCTTTATTTAACAAGGGAATTTTTATGCAAACTTAGACCCTAGTTTTATAGCATTGAACTGTCAGAATTATTATTCAATAAGAAAACTTAGTGAAAAATTATAATTTTCTTATATATTCATCACTTTTTCAGTATCCACTCATGTTATAGGTTAAAATGCCATACTCAATATCAAGTTATTTATGAAATAAAAACCTTATAAAATCGATAAATCTTTGTGTGTGCAAATTTTTAAATCTAAATCTCTTACATTAAAATTATTCTGTCTTTTAAATTACATCCCATTATTTATTTCAATCCAATTGATTAATGTGTTTGTACTAATATTTCAAAGTTCTTTCAAGCACCTTTTTGTGTCTTGAAAATGCCAAGTATTTCCATAAAAAAAAGTAAGCAGGCATATAGAATAATTCATTTAATAGTTCATATAATCGCTTTTAACTGATTTCATGTCTAAATTTTCTACACAGAAATCAGCTGTATAATTTTTAGTGTCTTTTATCGGACGAAATTTTTCAAAGAGGAATGAATTAAAGGCTTGATTGAGGAAAACAAATCTTTAAAGCTAAATGTATTCTAAGAAGTACAAAAAATGTCAACACGATTTTGCCCCCCCCCTTCAAATCAGTCATTTAATCTATTCAAACCGTTCAGGAAAAGGATAAACATTGCGAACATAAAAATCTGCCCTTTTTTATATATACTTTAATAAAAGGAAATGTGTTCTTTCTTTTTTTAAGAAAAGGAACCCATTTTTCTTTCTAAGCTTTTGAAAGTCGCCAACGCTTAAAAAATGATAAACTACGCCAAGGTAGAAACCCGCCTTTGACAACTCAATGCGCATGCGTGGTGGTGCGAATGTTGGTGCGAATAGCTTAAGCGGCTAATCGCACCGGTGGTGCGAATAGCATCGGCCTACCGGGCAGGCATAACTCAGAATGGGGCGTAACATAGATTTGTAAATGAGCAACTTGTTATCTATAGATAGAACGCTGTTTCGAGCAATTAAGGGGAAGAGTGAAGCTTTACTAGCTCAAAACTACTTAATAATATTTGTAATGTGTGGGTTCCATGTAAGAGATTTAGTGAGGATCACCCCAAGATAAGGGACCTGCTTGACCCAGGGGGTGCTTTCTCCAAACATCTGCAGGTAGACTGGAAATTTCTTTTTTGTTGTAAACAATATAGCATATGTTTTCTCAACATTAACCTTAATTCTCCACTTGACAAACCAAGCCTCTAATGCCTGGATGTGTTCTCGTAAGTGTTGTATAGCTGAACAAACAAATGCGCTTTGTGTAAGGATTGCAGTATCATCTGCATACATTGCGAGTGTCGTGTTGGGTGTAGTGGGTATGTCGTTCACATAAATGTTGAATACAGTGGGGCCCAAAAGGGACCCTTGGGGTACGCCAGCCCTTATAGGGCGGCTGGTAGATAATGTGCCAGAAACGGGAACGACAAAGTGCCTACCTGTTAGGTAGGATTTGATCGTGGTAGTGATGTAGCCTGGTAACCCCAGGTTGTGTAACTTGTATGTGAGGGCATCTAGCCACACACGGTCAAAGGCCTATGCAATGTCTAGAAACAGACCTCCAGTCACTTTGCTTCTTTGTAAGCCATCACTGATCATCTCCACAACTCTATAAAGCTGGTGGGTGGTTGAGTGCTTCTGACGAAAACCGAATTGGTATGGAATGATGACCTTATGTTCCTCCAGATATTTATTCAATCTGCTCAGTATTATTGCCTCCATTAGTTTACTTACAGAGCTCAGGAGGCTGATGGGACGATAGGACTCAGGTGCAGTGGCTGGTTTGTGAGGTTTCAGTATTGGCGTAATTTGAGTAGTTTTCCAACATGCCGGAAAGTGTTGCCACTGTAAGATGCAGTTAGCCAATTTCCTCCTTCATAGGGACCATGATCTTCAATCTGCGGATACTCTGTGACGCGTATTTCCAAAACATACCCTACTTTCTGAATTTTCGACGTCACGGAAATATCGGTTTTCCTTGGCAAATACTAGAAGTCGGCGTACCCCACTTATGTGTCACTTCAGATTTCAAAAAAACAATGTATATTCTGAACAATAAATAGCTATTACCATGATTGTAATTGTGTTTTCTGCCTCTGTCATGGCTGTTGCTAACTTTCCGGCTGGAATCGGATTATATTGCAAAATGCGCAGCCTATTTTTATTACTGGATCTGTGGTTTAGATCTGCAGTACATTTGCATTGAGCTTTTGTATTTTACTTAACGATTTTAAACGAATTTCTCAACGAGAAGTTAACTTGTTAAATTTATTTGACAATTACCATCATTAAAATTTTGAATGAAGCTATGTGAAATATTGTCGTTATCATAATATTCGATAACATCGTCGATCATGTGTGAAAAATGAAATTCACAGACTTTAATGAATCGCAGAGGGACGAATCATTTCAGTATTTTAAACGGGAAAGAAACTAATCATTCATCTGATGCCATTTCAAGGGTACAGACATCTGTTTGCTTCATGTACAATCTTTGACCATTTTTCCATTATTATTACAATTGATATAGGTTTCTGAATTTATTCCTATTATTACAATTGTTATACATTTCAGATACATTTCTTTTCACTCACGAAACAGATTAAGGGAGAAGTCATAATCCCATAATTTTGTGAGTGAGTTTCTTAAATCAAATTCCCGTATTTTATTCTATTGTGTGTTTTTTATTTTGCGTATTCAGTATCTGCCTTTTAATCTTATATCGTAATATATAGAAAATTACTTTCTTTCATATTTATTCGTTTAATAATGATTAATATGTGTGATTTCCGCAAAATTAATGCAGGTTATTCGATTCGAAGACGAAAAATGGTTTCCAAATCCTACACAAGAGTTTGCAAGAATGAAATGAGCTCTTATTACCACACCCACCCTACTGTGTACGGTGTGTGTGTGTGTGAGTGTGTGACGGAAGCGATGATTGGTCATGTATTGTGCGAACATAGTCGGTAATTGTTCCACATTGACAAGCGAGATGACAATTCTTTAATCTCAACTTCATGCATTTCTTTATTGTCTGTTTCTGGCGAAGAAAACAAGTATTCGTGTGTTCATTACAAAGCTGGGTTCCTCAGGGGCTGTAGGTCAACATGGCGTGTTGCCTAAGTGAGGAGGCGAAAGAGCAGAAAAGAATCAATCAAGAGATCGAAAGGCAACTGCGAAAAGACAAACGTGATGCTCGAAGGGAATTAAAATTGCTGTTATTAGGTATTTATAACATAATTTTCATTTTTCCCTTCCCAATATTAACATGCTTATACTAGTTAATAGAGACGGCCATGTTGTCGATATTTTTTAAAAAATTTTATGATATGTAATTTAAATTTGAAAGATTCAGCAACGGTAAGTATGATGTCGCTAATAACCAGAATTGCATATTTCTTTACGCGAGTTCTTTTAAATGTGCATGCTTAATATACGTAAAAAATTCCTTTAGGGGATCATGTTTACATGCTAACGACGTGATTTAAAAGAAGCGGCATAAATAGTGTACGATAGATTCATTTATTATAATAAAGCCTGATTTTTCGTTGAACATAGCAGCGGCTATTTGTTATAGTTTGCCTAAAATATAATGTTGTATTACCTATGCAGCGTTACTTTTCTAGTCTTTGAAAACAGTTGTATGAGAAACACTATGCTTGTGTGTGAAGTCGGAGCTATATTTAACATATTAAGCCCAGTGTTTTTATGTTAGCTGATGTACTTAATAGTTGCTTATTTAGTTTAATCGTAACATTTTAGCATGCTGGAAGAAATTAAGACCGTATTTATTTATTGAAAGTTTTTGATCAAAGCTTTTGTGCAGCAAATGAAAATTTCTGGAATATAAACTGCTCTAATAAATTATGTTATATTGCGTAGTTGAAACAATGAATGCGTGCAAAATGCAAACTCCTAATGCTCAGACATCATGATTTCATGTAACATAGAATCAACCGGCACATTGGTTAATTAAAAGAACATGATCCCAATTTGATGTTAGCATATTAGTACACATCATATGAAATAATATAAAATCCACATCATTAGCATGAAAAAAAGTTAGTTTTGAGTTGATAAAAAGAGAAAGTACATTATATGATTGGAATATTTATCTATTTTTTTGCACATTATCTGATGAGTATGATGTGCTATTTATAATTGTTACAGGATAACTACATATTTACCTGTTGTATTTTTCTGTACATTAGTTGCCCTCTTTTTTTGGGGGGGGGGAAGATTTGTATTCTTGATTAATTGCACCCCCATTAAATGTTTCCAATTCACTGGTGAAAAACTTTGGTTTGATTAACTATGTTTCATGGGTACTGTTCTGTTTCTAATTATTAAATAAAAAGAAGCCTTTCCTAAGAAGACTCTATGCTGTATATTTGCATCTTTATAGGCATTTAAATTGTTCGTTATATATAAGCACGTGAATTCATGTGTTCTCAAACATGTATGGTATATGCATGCATTGGTTAGATATTCTGTGTTCTCTTTGTGATATAATTAATATTTTTAATCAGGTATTGTTACTTTTTTATAAATGAGAACTTATTATATACATGTTAAATATTGATATCTATTATCAGCAAGCAAGCAGTTTTTAATCTGGTTGAATATCACGTAAAACTTCAAATTGGAAAATTTGATCATAGTGAAGGATACTATAGCTCTTTACTTAGGGGAAGACACAAGACATCTTAAAGGAAACTAAACCTTGTTTATGTTTTTCATGAATAAAATCAAGAAAATCTTTGGCAGTTACAGCATTCAACTGCTATTCAAATTCAGTGGCATAGCCAGAGCTTTTTTCGCTTGGGATGATACTTTTGTTACTGTTTTCAGCACACATCAGAAAATCTATAAAATGTCAGTATAACATATAAGGAAATAAAAGCTGTTTGTTTATTTTTGAAATAAAACTTTTAACTCGAACAATCTGAATTTCTTTTGTTTTTGTTTTGTTGTTGCTGTTAGCAAAAATCATCAATAACATTCTAAGAGTTTAGTAGACACCGAACTAAGGTTAAATGCGATAACTCATTTTAAGATCTTAGGTACTTCTTAATCGACTGATAGAAAGATTCTTCCCATAAGTAGCACTTAACCTGTTTTCAGGAAAGTTCATAGTGAAATTACAATATTTGGAACTGCTCCGAGGAGACTGTATTTAAGAATAAACTGCAAATATTAAAAATGACCGTCGTTATAACTGTCTGTTAATTTTCTTGAGCAGTAACAGAAATAAAACTGCGAAGAATTTCTATTTGAGTGAGGAATGTTTCCTTTATATCACTGTGTCTTGCTTTAATTAATATTCATGGTTTTCGTTCAAAAGTTTCAGGGAACTAAGGAAGGCATAACAAGAACATGAAGCTGTTGAAATGTTATTGTGATTTCTTTCAGTGTAAAACTAGTTGTCTCCTCAATTGAATTTTGTATAGCAACGTAGCTTCTTGGGATTCGTCACTTCATCAGGGGGTGAGCAGATAAGATTTCTGTTACAAAGACATCCCTCTTAAGCAGATAACCATTTACCATAATTCATAAATACATTCAGCACCACAGTATATTGTAAAAAGTTGTTTTTAGCTATTATTATTTTTGATGGTACTATTATGTGCGTCCTCGGGTCACCAAACGCAGCAATATGTGTTGTGCACTGGTTTTTGGCGCGATTGCGTATTCTGCAATGGTTTTGGGCAATGTTGGTTTCTATGGCAACCCTTTTTATGGGGAAGCTTGGATTGTACTGTACAACTTTCAGTTGCTAGTTGTTTCATGTGGTGTGTGGTATTTAAGTGATTTATGATGCAGTGGCAAAATTTTATTCGCGTGCCTGGTACAACTCTTTTTTCGTATGGCTGGAAATTCTACAAGTATATAGCAGAAGAAGGTTTTGAACATTTATTTTTGAAGGATAGTATCAGTTTTGTGGATAGTGAGTCTGGCTGTCAAATAAATACGATAGAGATTACGTGGCAGCATGTTAAAGCTACGTTGGCTATATTCTTGTTCTTATTTTGTAAAATGTTCTGTTCATTGTTTTTTTATCATGAATTTCTGTCATTGTTGTTTTTTTTAATTGTTTGAAATTTATTTTGTTGATTAGTGGACAATGCCTAGATTGTGCAATTTGTACATGTTTTTTAAAGTTTGAACAGAATGCTCTGTACATGGTGTTCTTTGAAATTTATTGTTATGTTAATTTATTAAATCAAGGTGTGCGTAGTACGCAAATTCCTTCGTTGCCTAGATTGTGCAATTTATAGATTTTTTTTTTAAGCAGAATGCTGTGTACATAGTATTCTTGTCAAATATTTTTGGTAGAAACTTTATGTTTTTGCTATCTAAATTTTTGGTTTTTGTTTCAGATTTTTAGCTTAAATTGTGTGTTCAAAATGTGGTTTTCGCATGTGCAAAAACCAAGCCACACCTTGTAAAACACATTATATTTATATATATATTTTTTAAATAACATAATCATAAATGTTTCCTAATGTCATGTAATATATTTGTAAAGTGCATTATATTTATATATTTTTTAATTAGTTTGTATTCATGTGGATACATAAGTTCCATGTGGACAAAAAGTTCTGTTGGACAATTGTATCTTCTTGAATACAAGTACAAGCTTGTTTAAATATGCTTTAAGAATGTTTATCTGATGATAATATATTTGGATGTTTTTGAATTATATGTTGTTATAGTCAAATACAAGTCTTTAATCCGGACTCGTCGGGACTTCGGCAATTCCGGATTATAGATCATCAGTTTAAATCTGGTAAGATGGCATGTAGAAATTATAGAATTAAAAATATGAAACCGTAATTTATGAAATAAAGAGCAATTATGATCTAAAGGGTATCAAAATTTACAAAAAAAAAAAAAAAAAAAAAAAAAAAAAAAAAAGCTTAATATTTATTTGTTTACTTTATTAAACATTTCTTTCAACGCGCGTATGTATAAAGCATACATTATGCATAGTCGAAATTAGAATATTGCAAACAGAAAACTATTTGATGTGTATTCGTGATATTTATAATGACGAGGAATTTGATTTAAATCATATCAAAGACGGAGTACATCAAGATGAAGTACTACATTTAGTAAGGAATTATAAGCCGAATAAAATAAAAACATCTGCCCTGAAGATAAGGATAGTGCTGACAGATCAACTTGCAGTTCATTGCGTGCCGCGACGTTCCCCCTCTCCCCCGCTGAGCAACGTGAAATTGATAAACATATTTCGGAATGGTTAGGAAATCAAAGGATATGCCTTTATCCATTTTTTGCAGCAATTCCACTTTTTGTTTGATGGACATCAAAACAGGCTTTCACTTTGTAGATCCTTTGATAGCTCCAGAATCGGAAATTCTTTTTGACATAATCGAAAGTTCAAGCTTACTTTTATAAAATTGCTCTAACAGTATGCAAAAAATAATAAGCTGGATTAATTAGATAATTTTAGCCTAGCTTATACTGTCTGTTATACATTAAATGCGCATGCGTAAACGCTACGCATGCTCAGAAAGTTTGTAGCTTTGAGGTCCGTATTATGGACGTCCAGATTAAAGACTTTTGACTGTACATCTTTTTTTTTTTTTTTTTTTTTTTTTTTTTTTGCAAAAGGCCGACATATGCCTGTAATGGCATTGGTCGCTACTAAGGCCAGAAATGGTAGCCATTTTATTGTGGAGGTACCTAATAGGCAGCCAGCGTTACCTGCTATGGAGGGACAAATAATTTTACATCCATGCCTTCTCCGGGATTCAAACCCGGGCCCTTTGGTATCGCAGTCAGGCTCCCCCAACCAGTATACCGTTTGGGTGGCAAGTCAAATACATCGTTCATTTGCTGTATAAAAATTTAGTTATTTAGTTAAAGTGCGTATATTTACATTATTTCCTATGAACTAGAATAAGAGGAACTAATGAATTTATGATTTGCATTATATCTGTAGGAGAGGGTGATCCTATTATGGGTACTTCAGGGGACTTTGAAATGAGATCTAATCTCTTAAGTAACTCTTCTGATTGAGATACCCTTTTAAAAGGAAAAACTGTATGATGTAAATAAATTACCCCTTCTATCAAAAAAGAGAGGGCACCAAAGTAGTATGGGGATTCATCCATAGATGTATTAATTTGACCGATATCAGTGAGGAGAAAAACAGCTACTGGTTACCAAAGTTTTGTGTACACCTAGGCTGCCTATAA